CCATTAATCGCTCGAAGGCGGGCTCGACAAATCCGAGGGTACCAACAAATCGTCTCATGTAAACAAGACCTACAGGCACATTGGGCACGCTCTATCATAGACGAACAAGGAGGCATGTGCTCCGGAGGGGTTCGATTCCACCGGAGGTCGTTCGTTGGCTTTCAAGACTTTACGTTGGCTTCATTTCAACACTTTTCCCCCCTGAGCCTAGCCCTACGTGTCCTCGAGCCTAGTTGATGTCTCGTGTGTCGTTCGGAGCGTAAGTGGCCTCCCAGTTGCCGTTGGATTTTTCAGTGGAACTTGTATTTAGGCGAGTGCCGTGTGGCAGACCGAACGGTTTTAGTATTCAGTCAGACTTGAAAAAGTGTTCGCTAATAAGAAACAGACATCAGGGAGGTTCTCAGACGTGCACATAGAAGTGACAACGACTCTATTGGGAAGAAACTATACCTAATAAGAAACAGACATCAGGGAGGTTCTGAGTCCATAGTAAGTACAGTGTGTGGACAATATATAGAGTGTCCGTACCTCAGACGTGCACATAGAAGTGACAACGACTGAGGAAAGCGGCGCCGGCGCCAGCACGTCCTTGATGTGCTGGCGATCACGTGGATACGGGACCGAATCCCCGAAAGGGAGTCGCGCCGAGGAACGCAACAATGGAACGCGTCGAATGAGCTGAAACAAAGCTCAAGGTGCTGATTCTCTCAACATTCGCTACGTATTTTTATTTATTTTGTCATTAGGCCGGTAATTTGGAGCAACTACATCAGTAGGCTCTCCGTTTCGTTGGACGACTTTCGACGTACTTGGAATCAATGAAAGTCATGTCTGACATCGCTTGCAGCGTGACGGCGAAGGCATAATCTCTCAGTTGCTCCCGAAGTAATTTGTTGGACCAGATATTAGCATCTTGAAGGCACTTTCTTGCCACATAGGCATTATTCTTGCCCAGGTTTTCGTCGATGATTTTCTTCACGCACCCATCCCATTCATCACGAAATTGACTCTGAAAAGGATTGGTCGGTATATGAGAGGTTGAAATGATTCTGGATTCTCCTCACCCACTCCTTGAGGGCAACGGGGGACAGCGCCACTGAAGCCTGATGGATCTTGAGACCCATGCTCTGGCGCGCTGCGTCAGTCGCGACGCCGTCTTGACCGTGCTTGATTGCGTAATCGAAAACCTCCAGGAGTGAGCAGTGATTGACTCCCTGTTCACAATGCGATAATGCAGGTGATCGTTGGAAATCAAACAGTGGTCGACAGCCATAAAACGAACGACGCACTTCATCTTGAATCGACACACAGCGATCGCAGCGTGGACCACATACTTCTCCGCAGCTTCAGCGAGTCCGGCCACAGAGCAGAACTCGACCTTGTCGAGATCCGGCGCTGGCTGCCGATACATGTACTGGAACAGGAGATCGAGCACATCGGAGGGCTCGGGGAGCTTGACGGGCTCGTCGCCATTCTCGGGGAGGGTTATCGCGCTTGCGTCGGCAAAGACATCGGAATGCATCTCAAGGTTCTTGCGATGGAGCTTGAAGAGCACGCCATCGGACGACGAGATCGTGATATCAGCATCGGGGGCGCAGACTGATATGAAAGAATGTCAGCAGCTGTCTTGAAACAGATCTGCGCAGGATCGTACATCGGTCTGATATCTCGGATGTCATCGAGGGAGTGCTAGTGCGCGTGTGGGTAAGACGTGCGTAACGAGCGCCTAAGCTGAAAGGTCGTGGAAATGGTGTCCAAAAATACGTCGTGTGAGGCTTGTGCCTCGTCCCACCCCCATTCCAGGCTAGGGTGGGTGAATGGGATCAGAAATCTCAACGAGGTCGAAGGTGTGGCGGAGCTGTCAGAGTGGGCGCGGGAGGTCGTTTGTTGAACTCTTTAGGACAAACCTAAAATGGATGCCAAAGGGGGCCCCCAAGGAGATCCCAAGCAAAATCCTGTGTATTTCCGTTCAAGCTGGTAGATGTACAATGTGTATTAGCTTTTCATGTTGGCGAACCGCATATTGGCAATCAATTCAGACTTTTTCCTGTATACTTCGCATTCTTGCCTGAGGCGAGCATTGTAGTATGGATTGGGATCGCTGAACCATTGAAGCGCAAACTTCAACTGGTCATGGACAAGTTTGCCTTTCATAATGTCGAGTCCCAATGACTTGATCGCAAGATTCCAGTTCTCGGAAAATATAATCTAGATGTTTCAATTCGTTAGCCAGGAAAAAATTTATATGACAAAGAATGGTGTTCTGACCCAGGCCTTGAAGTGGTTGGGGGAGAGGATGGTCAAGGCTCGCTCAACACCAAGACCCATACTCCGGCGCGCAGCTTCATTTGCAAGATCTTCGTGCTGGTGCTTTGCTGCGTACTCCAGAACCTCTAGGGGATGGTCCGGGATCGATTCACTGTGTTGCACACCGTCTCAGAGATGTCTGCATCAAAGGTACGACATGGAACGTACCTCATCTTCATCCGGCACCATGCCAGCGCAGAGTGGACCACATACTTCTCCGCTGCTTCAGCCAATCCTGCAAACGTGCCAAACTCGACCTTTTGAAGGTCGGGCTGCGGCTGACGATACATGTACTGAAACAGTAGATCGAGGACATCGGATGTTTCGGACAGCTGAACGACCTCGTCTTTGGCAGGGCGGGTCGCATTTTCTGCATCGGCGAATACGTCGGAATGGACTTCAAGATTCTTGCGATGGAGTTTGAAGAGCACCCCGTCGGACGACGATACCGTAATATCAGCATCGGGGGCGCAGACTGGGATGAAATAACGTCAACTGTGTTGAAACAGATCTACACAGGGTCGCACATCGCTGTGATATCTTGGATGTCATTGAGGGGCGTCTTGGTGGGCGTGTGGGTAATCCGTACGTAACGAGCGCCTAAGTTGAAGGTCGTGGAAATGGTGTTCTAAAATACGATGTACATGTAGTGATGTGTGGGTCGGATCTATGTCGGATCGTGGGATGGACGAGATGGCTCGAGATGGTTCGAGATGATGTCATCAGCCCAACCGTGAGACTTTGGGTGGGGGCGTTGTAAACAGGGACCGGCAACACCCGAGATCTGGAGATCAGTATTAATATTAATGTGTTTGCAATACTGTTGACAAAGCGAGCGTAGCTTCGACCAGCCAGATTGGACAGTGAAAATCCAGATAACACGCACGTACACAGAAACCGGAAGAAAAGCTGGCAGTGGCGAAATAAAGACGCTTCAAAGTGCGAGGGGAAATCGAATACAAACCCGAACACCAAACTTCGTCGACGTAAAATTACGCACGTCAAGCCCCGCCCCTTTTTGCCATCTCTCTTGCCAGCACATCCGCGTGGCCCAGCGTCCACCCACCCAGCCTCCGGCTACATCAGAGCTTTCTTCTCCCACAACAGACTTAATGCAGTTTCCTGCAGTATTCTCCTGGCAGCCCTTTCCCTACGCGTACTTTTCGCTCTATTTGGCGCTCATGGTGACGGCTCTGGCCGCCAGCACACCGCCCCGCCGCCGGCTTTTTTTCCTTCCCATCCTTGCGCTGACAGCCATGCTGCTCTACGCGTCCGAGGCCGGATACATAACCAGCATGGCCTGGTTCACGTACCTGCTCCTGTCCTCCGAGTACATCCTGCTCACGGACGACATCCATCCCGAGCTCCCAGGCCAAATCAGTGCCGCGGCACCAATTTCAACAGAGTCGACACCGGCTACTCGGAGCGTTGAAAAAGTCAAATATCTACCATCCATGTCGCGCCGTATCAAATGGGCCCTCTTCCTCCTCATCAGTCCGCGGGGTCCCATCAGCGGGCGGCGCGACACAAAGCCCGGACCCCGACTCCGCCTCCAGACACACCGAAAATGCGCTTCATCCAGCAGCGCCTGCTCCGTCTCTGCACCGCGCTCCTCGTGCTCGACCTCGCGAACCTGCACGCCCAGTGGAACCCAGCGTTCCGAATCGGGCTCGCCGCGGCCGGGTGGCGGTGGCGCTTCGTCGGCGCGGCGGGCTGGGCGGCGAGCGCGTGGGCCGGGATGAGCATCCCCCACGATGCGGCGAGCGTGCTGTGCGTCGCAGCGGGGTTTTCGCGCCCGCGCGACTGGCCGCCGCTGTTCGGGGGACTCGGCGACGTGGGGAGTGTCCGGAGCCTCTGGGGGTGCGTGCGCATTTTTCTGGCTGTCCATAAACTCGAACTTGGAGATTTACCGTTCGTTCCCAGCCGGGGATGGCACCAAATTCTGCGGCGCGTAAGTCGGTTTTCTGCGTTCCGATTCAGATGTAATGATCTCTCATTAGCCACTCCAGGCATACGGAAAATTCATCGCGCGCACCGTCCTGCAGCTCCCTCCCCACGCGCCGACCACCTTCCGCGTCGAGCTGTGCACCGCGTTCCTGCTCTCCGGGCTCGTCCACTACCTCGGCGAGGCAACCACACTGCGCTGGCGCGGCGGCTCGCTGATATTCTTCAGCATGCAGCCCATAGCCATCGCGCTCGAGGCGCGCGTCGCGGCCACCGGCGTCAGGCTGCCCCGCGCGGCGGGCGGCGCGTGGACGTGGGCGTGGTTCGCACTGACGCTGCCCATTATGCAGGATCCGCTGATTCTGGCGGGGGAGATGACGTCGCAGGTGCGGGTTAGTCTGATTATGCGGGTGTGGCGCGGGGTGTGGACGTTGCCGCCTTCAGTCACTTGATTGACTGGGCTGATGACGCAGAGAACGAGAGAGGGAAAAGTGAAGGATTTCAAAAAATTCGGACGCTGGGAGTCGAACCAGGTAGTCTGAGTCACATGTGGATACGTCCGACTCCCTGTCTACTCACGCCGCTTAATCGGTAACGAGGAGAACAGAAACCCACCTGAATACAAGGCACGCTATACATCGCATAATGAATCCCGGACCCGCCTCGGCGTCCTTCCGATAGCTTGGGGAGACCAGGCACCGTGACGGGGCCGGAATCGGATAGAAAAAAGAACACATAGAACGCTGGAATTCGGACGCTGGGAGTCGAACCCAGATGACCTGCAGACTCGAGAACAAGTTTCTAGTATCGCTAGCAGGTGTGTTCCGTACACCACGTCCGAGTCTCTCATATCCATCCGCTGCACGGGCTGAACACCAAAAGTGGTCAGCGTAAATAGTTGAATAGAGACACAGATAATTTTACATCCGGTTCTGTGCCTCCATCTCCTTCCAACCTACTCAGCCCGAAGAACCACGGACAAATGGGCGAAGATCTGAGAGTGTCAATATAGGGACACGTGAAATTCAAGAAACTAGAAAATAAACCGACATTCGGACGCTGGGAGTCGAACCCAGGTCGTCTGCATCAAGCCGCTGCAGGGGTGTTCCGCACACCACGTCCGAGGCCCATCCTCTCTACCTTCCCTCCATTTCAGCACAGAATAAGATGAAGAATCAAGAACGGCGAGACGCACCGGTATCGCGAAGTGAGCTCAGACCAGCTTCTATGAACCGACAGAGAGCAGACCAGGTGCGGAACCGGAATTGAATAGAAAAAAACTTCAAAAGTGATTCGGACGCTGGGAGTCGAACCCAGATGACCCGCAGAATTACGCGACTGGCTTCATCGTTAGCGGTTGTGTTCCGTACGCCACATCCGACTCCCTGCTATCCATCCGAGACTGGATCAGCCGAACACCGAAAGAGATCAGCGTAAATAGTTGAATAGAGACAGAGATAAATTTACCACCTGTTTGTGCGCCATCTCCTTCCAACTACTCGCACCGAAGAACCACGGATAAATGGGCGAAGTTCTGAGAGTCGTACAGTAGTCAACAAAAGGACATCTGAAATTCAAGAAACGAAAGCAAAAAAAAGATGGTAGAAAAGAAAGCCACATTCGGACGCTGGGAGTCGAACCCAGATGACCCGCATGCGATCTTTCTCGAGCACTACTCGCGGCATCCCCTACATACAAGAAAATATGAAATCCAAGAAACGAAAGCAAAAAGAAGAGGATCTCGCCAAATTCGGACGCTGGGAGTCGAACCCAGATGACCTGCAGACTCGAGAACAAGTTTCTAGTATCGCTAGCAGTGTGTTCCGTACACCACGTCCGATTCCCAGTCTGCACCTGGACTCGCACCACTGGAGCAAAATAATCGGTAACAGGGAGAACATAAAGCAGTGAAAGCTGACACACCCACGCCCTCGACCCATATCGCAAAATAATCCCGAACGGGTCGGCTAGGGAGACCATGCGCGGAGCCGGGATTGAATTATAAAAAGACACGTGCATACCAAGGATTCAGACGCTGGGAGTCGAACCCAGATGACCTGCAGACTGGAGCTCGAATGTATCGCTAGCAGGTGTGTTCCGTACACCACGTCCGACGTCCTTCTGTGCATCCTATCCGAACTGGCCAGCAAAACAAGACAGGCCAGCGGAAGTGCTGAATCTAGCCGCACTAGTATCTCGCCTTGGTTATTCCGGCCTTGTTTGGAGCGCCACAGCGACATGTGCCAAGACTCCACAGAAAGCAAAACAAAAGGAAGGATCGCATGTTCGGACGCCAAGAGTCGAACCCAGACAGCCTGTAGAGTAGATCAATACCTTCAGATCGTTAGCGGGTGTGTTCGGTACACCAGGTCCGACTCCCATTCTCTGCTGTACATTACCTCCATTTCAACAAAACAGCAAATGAGGCAAAAGAGAAAACAAGAAGCGAAATGCAGGGAACGAAAGATATGGCATTGAAAAAGGTTCATAGAACGTTCGCCATTCGGACGCTGGGAGTCGAAACCTACTGATCGTACGTCACAATGCGGTGCAGAAGTGAAATTAGTACTACACCACGTTTGAGTGCTTTGTCTTCATTGGCCGTCGCTGTACATACAACTGCTTGCTCTCGGCGAACATCCATCCCGGTGGGTGTCACGAATCGGATACGTAGACGCCGTCCTATGGAGGATCTGCCGTGCGATGGGGTTGAAATGGGCGCCAATCTAATGTGTGTATGACGCGATCGATTGGAATGATCTCGGAAGTTAATGTCAGGAATTTCGAACGCTGGGAATCGAACCCGGGTCGTCTGCGTATGCCACTCATACAACCGGCATATGCAGATGGGCAGGGGTGTTCCGTACACCGCGTCCGACGTCCTTCTACCCATCCGCTGCACGGGCTGAACACCAAAAGAGATCAGCAGAAGTGCTTGATTGATAAGTCAAAGAGAATCTACCAACTGCCAACTCATTCTAATTCTAACCATCTTAGAGTCGGACTGCGACTTCACTAGTCCAAGGCAACCGGCTGAATTTCTGAGAGCCCCCACAAGAGCATGTGAAATGCTAGAAATGAAAGCCGAAAAAGGTAGTAGACAAGAAAGCCACATTCGGATGCCGGGAGTCGAACCCAGATGACCTGCATGCAGTGTTCAAGCCATAACTTAGCGCAGGGGTGTTCCGTACACCACGTCCGACTTCCTTCCAATCATCCGATACCGGATGAGCTGAACACCAAACCGGAACTGGATGAGCTGGACACCAAAAAGCGGTCAGCGTACGTGTTTTGGAAAGAGAATCTTACCGCGTGCTTACCCATTCCAACCATCTTAGAGTCGGACTCGGACTTCACTAGCCCAAGGTACCGGATGCATTTCGGAGAGCCCCGAAATGCAAGAAACAAAGCAAAAAGAAGAGGATCTCGCCAAATTCGGACGCTGGGAGTCGAACCCAGATGACATGCAGACCGAATCAAATTTCTGGTATCGCTAGCAGGTGTGTTCCGTACACCACGTCCGATTCCCTGTCGCACCTGACTCGCACCACTGAGCAAAATAATCGGTGACACGGGGAGAACACAAAACGGCGAAAGCTGACACACCCACGCCCCCGACCCATATCGCAAAATAATCCCGAACGGGTAGGCTAGGGAGACCATGCGCGGAGCCGGGATTGAATTACTGTACTATTTCGACCGTTTGTTCACTATTTTTAGATTTTCGTCGACCGAGGTGACCGATAAAATTTCTTTTGAATTATGGCGTTTTTTGAGCACATCAAAAAAAGTTGAGTGTCACCGTCACCTGAAGAAACGGTCGAAATAGTACAGTATAAAAAGACACGTGCATACCAAGGATTCGGACGCTGGGAGTCGAACCCAGATGACCTGCAGACCAGAGCGTCGAAGTAATCGCTAGCAGGTGTGTTCCGTACACCACGTCCGACGTCCTTCTGTGCATCCTATCCGACCTGACCAGCAAAACAAGACAGGCCTGCGGAAGTGCTGAATCTGGCCGCACTAGTATCTCGCCTTAATTATTCCGGCCTTGTTTAGAGCGCCACAGCGACGTGTGCCAAGACTCCACAGAAAGCAAAACAAAAGGATAGGATTGTCATATTCGGACGCCAAGAGTCGAACCCAGACAGCCTGTAATAGATCAATACCCTCAGATCGCTAGCAGGTGTACTACGTCCGACTCCCATTCTCTGCTGTACCTTACCTCCATTTCAACAAAACAGCAAATGAGGCAAAAGAGAAAACAAGAAGCGAAATGCAGGGAACGAAAAATGACGGCATTTAAAAAAGGTTCATGGGCATAGGTTCGCCATTCGAGTCGAACCCAGGTCGCCTGACCACTGATCGTACGTCACGGTGTGGTGCAGAATTGAAATTACTGACTGGCGTATTACACCACGTTTGAGTGTTTTGTCTCCATTGGCAGTCGCTGTACATCCAACTGCACGGTCTCGGCCGATTATCCAGCCCGGTGGGCGTCGCAAATCGGACACGTAGACGCCGTCCCATGGAGGATCTGCGGTGTGATGGGGTTGCGATGGGCGCTAATCTAATGTGTATCTGCGATGTATATGAAGCATGACGCGATCGATTGGAATGAATCACGGATAAGTATAGCGGACGCGGATACGGATGGATAGCCGGCGGGGTACATACACGCAGCCAGAGTGGGACTAGCAGGATCCGATGGCGGCGTGGTGCACGCGAGGCAGAATCGCAGAATGCGCAGAGGTGCAGACATCGAAGTACTCGGGGCGACTCCAGTGAGGCTAATCAGGCTGGGAGCGGCGTGCCTGTGGGTGCGAAACGCATACGGAATCAGACACAGGATGACATCAGTTCGGCGTTAACGTCGGACGAGATGGTGGCAATCCTCCAGAGACAGCTGTATGCAGTACAATCCCGCAAAAGAGGCCTAGTATCGCGCAAGGAGCCATGGCGATGGACGAACAATAGTTGAACGATGAATGAAAAAGGGACAAGCCGGATGCGGAGAAAAAGAGGGGGGATCCAAAAAGAGCCCGCGGAGTGATCGATGGCACGTGGCGCCCGACATAAAAATTTGAGGCCATGTCGCCCACATCTCCGTGTACCTCGTCTCCCGTGCCGCTGCCTCCCTCGCTCGCCCATGACCGAATACGACTACAGCGAAGAGGCCTACCACCGCCACCTCGACACCCAGAGCCGCATCTCCAACTGGGTCCACAAGACCCACCGCGTCCCCCAGGCCAGCCCCGACACCCCGCCCACCCCCGCAACCGCCCCGCGCCCCCTCTACCGCGACGACGACAGAGACCGCGACCGCGACCGCGACCGCAAGCACCACCGCCGCGCCCGCTCGTCACACCGCACGGTGCACGAGCCCGACCTGCAGCGCCCGCGCACCGCGCCACCTCGCGGCGACGTCTACGGCGTGCAGGCCCCCGTGATTCCCATCCCGCTGCCGGAGGTCCCCAAGCCGCGCTACCCCGCGGGCTACCCGCGCGCCCCGACGCCGTACTACCCCGTCCCCCCCGCCGCGCCCCCTCCCTCCCACCGCAGCACCGCCGCACGCGCTCGTCCTCGCAGGCCCCCGAGCCGCACCGACGCCCCTCGCACGACTCGCGCACGCGCTCGCAGTCGTACCTCCCCGCGCCCGGCCCGATGTTCGCGCCTGCGCCCCCGCTGCCGCCCTTGCGCTCCAACACGTACGCCGGGAACAATAGCAACATGCGCTTCGCCCCACCGCAGGCGCCGGTCTACGCTTCGCCGTACCCGACGTCGCCGGTGTATTCGAGTGCGCGGAGCCCGTCGCCCATGCGCAGCCCGACGAGAGAAAGGGAGGTGCCGCTGCTGAAGCGCGTGTTCTCCGGGTGGGGGAAGGGGAGTGGGAGTGGGAAGGGCAGTAGTGGAGGGCGGTCGCCGCGGCGGGGGGATACGTATTGAGTGTGGGGAGGCTGGTGGTGAGTTGACTCCTACCGCGCCACACTTGCTCAGCTCTAACGCTCGTCGGGCAGACTCCACTTTTGCTCTTGTTGGCCACACTCTTCCGCCTATCCCGACCTCGCATCATCCTCCGCCCTCCCCACCCCACCGACCTCTGCGCCATCCATCGCATCCATCGCATCCTTACCCCGCATACGTCACCCCCACCCCGCATACCTCCGACACACCTCATCCGCGCCACCTTCCTCCATGCGCTACACCACGCACGTACATATACCCTACCACCCCCAACCCAACCCAACCCAACCCAACCCAAAATACAACCTAATCCCGTACGCATACACATACCTCGTATATACCTCCTACATCCACACCTTTACATACACCTCACCTACACAAGCCTCGCCCCCTGTTGTCTGTCTGTCTGTCTGTCTGTCTGCACACGTATTAAAAGCGCCTCGAGTGTATGTTGAAGTAGCGTATATATTGTTGTATCCATTTATTCCACCTCCGTGTACCACGCAAGTCTCATGGGAAGCCGACCCCTACCAGAGTCTCTGTTATTTTTATTTCATTGGCATTCGCCTCCCTCCTTTTTCATCCGCCTGACCTACAAATTCCTGCCCATCTTTTAATATCGAATTCGGTGGTCATCACGCTCCGTATTGTCTCATGCAGGACACGTCGGACGTGGTGCACGGCGCACACCTGCTCCCCATGACGCTCCCAACTGGTTATCATGCAGGAACCCTGGGTTCGACCCCCAGCGTCCGAATGCTTCGGAGTGGTCGAACTTTTTTTGCTATGTAGTTCAAGCTATGCATTCCGCCCCGCACATCTTTTCTTGATTTCCCTGCAGTGCAGTGTCGGCTGCTGATCACGAATTAATATTTCCGGGGGCTGCATTTGAATCCAGTGTCGCGGGCGTTCATCAGTTGAGATTCAGACTTATTTACTTGTCATGTATGTATGATGTCGGCAGGAAACCTGGGTTCGACTCCCAGGGTCCGAATATTCATCCGAGTTGTCCGATAATATTTTTTTCTTCTGTGTACCTTCAAGCTATGCCCTTCCTCCGATGCTCGATTCACCTGTAGCCTCGGGCTGATTTCTGGTTGTTGCGAATTCGGATTCAATGTCGGCGGATTGAAATGCAAATTCGGGTCACCTTCAAGCTTGGATGGGTGAGGTAAATTATCATGGAAAGGACATCGGACGTGGTGCACGGCGCACGCTTGCACCCATTCCACGGCCCAGGAGGTCGGGCAGGAAGCCTGGGCTCGACTCCCAGCGTTCGAATGGAGGGATTGTTCTATTGACTCGTCATCGGATCTTCGCGTCGCCGCCCATCGCGCACCAGAAGCATTGCTCAATAGCATTTATCAAAAAGCTTGTTCCTCCTAGTTTGTCCGTGACATTCTATCATTTTATTTTTATTTTGCTGTACACACATATAGCTGTGGTATTACTGATCAATGAAGAAGTTCTTTTGCCCCCGTTTCGTATGCCGTCGCCTTAGTCCCCGCTCTCGATGCTCGCCGTCGTCGCCGCCACCGCTCTCGCTCTCGTCTCGTCCCTCGTCGTCCACGTCCGTTTAGTTCTCTTTTGCTTCGTTCAAAACACCGGCTGTTGGCCCTCCCGTATACGGCCGTAATATTACGGCCGTTTATGGTGTACGGCAAACCCGTAGCCGTACCGTAAAATACACCTCACGTGGCCTGCCGGTACGGTTACGGGACCCGTAATTACGGCCGTATTACGGCGACGGTGTCCAGCCCTACATCGGACGTGGTGTACGACGTGTGCCTGCATCTCCTATCAGGAATGTGGAATGGATAAATGAAGGAGATCTGGGTCAGAAACCAATAACCAATCCCAACTCAGCTATTTTTTGTGCAGTGAATAATGCCGCCTGCTTATTACAAAAACAGTACACAAGCCAGTAGGGCGCGTATCGATACCCGAAATTTGGACGACAATAATTCGGAGCTGCCAAGTAATTATTCCCTGCATAATCCGTGGTCCGGTCAGATTGAATGGATTCAAGTTCCTGTTATGAAAGCCGAGCACTAGGCTGTTTCAAGGCATATGAAATACAGTATTCAAGAATCATATCGTACTTTTCATGTCGGGTCTGGTACACGGCGCGCACCTGGTGCTAATGAAAGGAATTTGTTGTAAGACATAAATGCAGGAACTCTAGGTTCGACTGCCAGCGCCCGAATTCAAGATTCTAACTGTGAGTTTGGTTTCTCTCCTGAGCCAGCAGTGTCAATGCAAGATGCTTTCACTATCGAGATTTGACTCTGAGCATTTAAGGCTGGCCGCTTTTGGCTCTTACTGATATCCTCGAGGAAAAAGATCTCCAATTGAAGTAGTGGGCCCATTATCTCATACATTATTCGACTTCGCGGTTCAAGGATCAGACTGGAAGAACTTTCCCCCCTCGCCAAACACTGAGAAGCATAAACCCGATCAACCAGAAACAGGAAAGAATCATAGTCCCCAGCAGCAGTGATTCAAATATACACTTGAGAAGCTTCTTCAGCCATTGTTCCGTGGGCCACATCACATAGAATACTTAGGGGTGTGGGCCATGGCAAGGCCCGGCAGGGAACTTGTACTTGATGTTTTTAATCTGAATAAACCTAGACTGGCAACTGTTCTGTCTACTTGAGAGTAGTGCTGTCCAAATATGATATGAATACAAAAAATCAAGTATCATATCATATGCATATCATATCACCATCCTCAGGGCCATATCATATCTGTATTATATCTTCCACATATTTATTCTGCTATATCTGATATGATAGGAATATGATATGATTATTTGTACTGTGTGGCCTGGCCCGAAAGCCCAAGCCCTAGCCCCAGCCTTCAGGCCATGCCCTATCTGAGCCTGACTTGGGCTCGTGTACTCTCACGACACCGGAGCCCACAAGCAAGTGATAGAAAGGTAAGTAATCATATGTAAAAAGGCCATTGTAAACCCCTCAGCTAGACCAAGTTGTAGGCACACCACACACCGGGAGTTGCACAAAAACTTATAGGGAGAAATGCTGCCCTGCTCAGCACTGACAATGGGTGCCCAGAAGACTATTGAAGTTGCCAGACTGTTCCAACAGGGCAGGGGCCATTTGCGTGAGGATGTAACCATGGGTGCACAGAGATGGCTGTCAGAGGAGAATCTGAGTCTTGACAGTGTGGAGCAGGAGATCTTGACTGCACAGCCGTGAGCAAATCCTGGGCACAAAGAGAGGGTGGAAGAAGCAGAGGGTTGCAGACAGTCAGCAGGACAACAAGGTGGACAGAAGCAACATAGAGCGGCATGGTGTTACTGCATTGTGTCATCACGTGAAACTGGCCCAGACACCCTAAACAATCGTTCGGATCCTAGAAAACCTTGCATTTGATTGTCTTTTGATGATTGCATTCATTATATCCAGAGGAGACACCCTAAATGCTCAAAAATAATCAAGGACACTCCTGTGACATGATTGCACATCATGCTTTTAATGAATGGCTTACAGGGTTCAAAAGACGTGTTGAACAGAAATATGCAAAGGTTGTGCAAACAGACAAACAACATTCAATGCAAATTCTCGTTTTCTTTCAGCCATCCATTTTCAATGGTTTAAAGGGCTGGGGAAGTGCATAATGACCTCCCAATTGAAGTCTTCAGGAAGGAAATTTTATTCAGGGCTCTAAACATACAGTGTGGGCAGACTTATACCCATCAAATGTATGAATCAGTGTTGGCTTAAGCTTTAAGGGTTATTAAGGCCTTAACTGTTAAGGCTTAACGGTCTGGATGATGCTGTTAAGGCTTAAAGGTCTGGCCACCCATGCCGAGCCGTCGGGGAACCCTGGATGAATATATTTTGTTTGAACGATAGTCTCTGACTTCTGGAGGTTGAAATAACTGCATACACTTTTTGGCTTGTCAAAGAAGCCTGCAAACTAAAAACCTGCAGCTTTGGGCCTCAATCATGCAACGAACGGTGGCAGAATTGATGGAGTTCGACCAAGGAGAAAGATGATGGTAGGGCTGACGAATGAGCCAGTTGATCTTCTGAAAATGAGTGAAGGCTGTATAATCACTTGTTATAACCCTTGTTATGGTATACTATGCTCTACAGCGGCAACATTGGTGTGAGAGATTATTTCCCAAAATGGACTTAAGGCCTTAATCCTGCCCTTAAGATTAACCCTTAAACCTTTATAACCCTTAATGGCTTGGGAGGCCAAGGTTTAACCCTTAATTGCCAACACTGGTATGAATTCATACAAATACAAAACAATGCGAAAGTTTCCCGAAATTCCTTCCTGAAGACTTTAATTAGATGGCCTTTAGGATGCTTTTCTTCATACAAAGTTAGATGCCAATCATCCCCTACAAGATTTTCAAAAAAGGTGACCACAAATTTCTTATGTCTTGGTGTGTGGGAAAAGAATGTCGGAGTTGAAATTTCCATCCCCATCAACAGAGTCGACGAACATCAAAAGTCAAAACAAAAAACAAGTTGGCAAACATGTTGGAGGTGGCTCGGGGGAAAGTGTAAACAAAGACAAAGGCAAGGTGTACAGCCCTAGGTGGTACAGCCACTATTTTAGTAAGGTCTAAGTGAAGGGACATCAAAGACAGCCACTATTTGGTCAAGCACAGCTACTAAAAAGTAATCAAAGACAGCCACTATTTGGTCAAGCACAGCTACTAAAAAGTAATCAAATTTTTGGGGGCACTGATGTTTTTGGGAGGTTTTCGAGACCCCTTCAGATTATGAAAAGAACAAGTATTATGTAAACATAAGTACTCGTAATCCGGAGTGTATAGGATCAAATAGGGGTCAAGGGACTCTAGCCCAAGTTTAAAGGCCTTAGGAAGGGATGAGGTTCGGCCAAAAATATTTAAGGCCTACGTGAAGGCCTTCGGAAGGCCTTAAACCTTCAGGTGAACACTGGATCATCATTTCATTTTGAACATGTCGCGGTGTACATAGCTGCTAAGATTCTATCCATTCCTATCCACAAAGCAACAGAAAGAATCAGATCCATAAGAAAGGATGATTCTATTCGGCAACCCCTGTGTCGAAAGCACGGGGGTTGCATGCAGCTATTCAGCAACCCCATGATTTATAAGCACAGATTTGATGGCGGCTGATGGTGATGCACGCGCCTCGAGGCGGGATTTGTTTGGGAGACCACAAGTCCTGCAAATAAATAGTTTTCCTGAAATAAAATTCGGGGGAAATTTCCAAATCTTAATCCTTGTGATTGGTGTTTTTTCTGCATTTTTTAAAAGCTAAATTGCCCTATAATGCTCACTTATACTGAGTTTTCGTGCCAAGTCCACCAAAAATCACCGAAAAAGATCCAAAAAAAACCAAGAAAAATCTCCGAGTCCGCTCCATGAGCTTAGAGTCAAATCTAATGTGAGCGCCATACAAAAAGTAAAGTCTGGGGCAAGGAAATGCACCAGAACGGTCTCAGTCATTATTTTATTCGTTATCTTATCGGCCATGTGGGGGTTGCTAAATAGGCTTTTGCTATTTGGCAACCCGTACGGGGGGTTGCTGAATAGAAAGGAAGATGGACAGAAGAAAAAAATCAAACAAAAAAAGAAAAAAATCAAGAAGACCATGTCGGCCCAAAGCTCGTCACGGCGACGCACCCGATCCACGCCATTTCCAAGACGGCCTTGCCGATCGGCGTGAGCTCCGCGACGGGCTCCTCTTGCAGCTCGTCCGCGATCTGGTCCGGCGGCACAGGGAT